TGAAATTTTTAATATTTTCTGTGTAGCCGTACGTTCCAAAAGATAGCAATAAAACTGTGTCCTGGTGTTTTCACTGTTCTGGATTTTTTTTTAAATGTAGAGGAGGCATCCATAATTTCTTAACACTGGAAACATGACTCTGAAGGACAGAGGAAATGGCCAGTAACTTGAATTATTTTATTGTACCATTTTCAACTTTTTCTTTTTTCCTCCGGTGATGCCTGCACATGTACACACATGTATGTGCACGTGGGATCACCCGAGTGGGAAAGCGCGTATGGCATCAGTTTTATGTCACAGAGCGTCAGGGTTTCTTGTTAATTTAGTCCAGCCCTCTAGTTGACAGTCCAGTATAGTCTTAACAATTTGCCAGGTTCTGGGGTTTTTTTGTTTTGTTTTTTTTTAAGTTGTTGGTGTGTTGTTTGGTTTGGTTTATGTACATGCAGCTTGCCTGTTTAACCCAGATTTTTGAAAATAAAGAAAATGTTAATGTATATTTTATGTCTGTTTTATTAAAATAACTGCATAATTTTAACTTAATCAGCAGTACGCATGGTTTCTGAATTTTTTTATTTTAGCATCACATTCCTGGAAGTATGTTGTCCTTTGTATTTTGCAAAACGTAGGGACATTTTGAGCAGTTCTGTGCCTGTATTCTCTGCCTCTGAGCTAATGCTTCTGGTGAAATCAGTTCTGACTGACTCTCTGGTTCTCTGATGTAGATTCCTTCACTTGGCAGGCTGAGGGCCCATTTGGAAAGCTCTCATGGTGACTGTATATTGACCATTGTATACATGCCTCTAATGTTTTTCTGCTCTTTAAATTAGTATTTATGGCTTTTGGAGAGTGCATTTAATCCTAAAACCTTTTAAAGTTGAAATTTACTGTTCTATATATACAACAGCTAAAATCATTCCTAGGAAACAAGTTTCTGAAAAATACTTAAGTAATGGTGGTAATGGTGAAAAGATGAGAGGTTTCATTCACAAATATTGACCCTAAAGCAAATTTAATCTCTTCTCATTGTTTTGCTTAGAGCAATGATTTTTAAAATCTTAGACTCCTGAACCAGTTAAAAAATTTGATGAGAGCTGTAGGTCATTTTCTCAAGAAGATGCGTATTTGCATGCAACATTACATACATAAACCCAAGTTTAAAAACTCCTGCACTAGATTTTTTAAAAATGAGTTGTCTTTTTGAGATCTATGCTAAAATATTTAAGAATCTTCTTCAAAATAATCCAGAGGGGTAGAGAAGATGGAGGTGTAGATGGGATATAAATCGTTAAAGCAGATCAGTGGGTACATGAGCATTCATTATACTCTTCTCTCTTTTTTTGTAGATGTTTGAAATTTTCTGTAAGGCAGACTTTAAAATAAACACACAAAAAGCTCTTGTACTAGAGACTCCACAACCCTCCTTACCAGTCTTATAGAATCACAGAATCTTCAAGCTGAAAGGAAGGACCGGAGGAGAGTGAGAGTAACGATGCTGGCAAATACAAGTAAGGCCCTCTAGATGATACCCAAGGAGCATTTTCAGGCAAGGATGGTGAGTTGTAACAGTAATGGCAAGAACCAGTGAAATTTTAATTGTTAACAGGGCCTGGTTTGCATCTACTAGATAGCAACACATTTTGTCTCTCCCTTTAATACAGAGAGTAGATCTGTGGAAATATGGTTGATCCCAGCAGCCTTAGCTGTAACATACAGATTGAGATGTGATCCATCATGCTGAAAGTACCCAAGATGGGCACACTGAGCCAGGGCCCCAAAAGGCCTGGGGTAGCACATGGCCTTCTAGGCCTGAGGACAAATACTTCTCATGGCATTGCTCTGGAAACTATGTGCTACCGAAACCTTGAAAGAATGAGAGAACCTGCAGGCAAGGACCAGCAAGGGTGTATTAGGTAGGGTAGACAGAGCTAGAGGCGTCAATGGCCTGGTGCCTGCCCACTCTCCCTTAGGTGTCAAGACATTCTTTCCCAGTGCCTGAGGGCATCTCTCAGGAACAATACCTTTTGGCTTGTTTCAGTCTGTTCCATCTCCTTTTTCTTGCCCTCTCCCAGATTAGGACTGGAGCCCCAGAAGGTGTGCAGCCCATCTTCCTTCCCCAGTACATTCCCTTTTCTGTTTCTTCTTTCGGTTTCCCTGTTTGATTTCTTCCTCTGCTTAGGATCATTTTCACCACCATTTTTGCTGGTAAGACACCAGGGACAGACATGAAAGACATTAAGCAAGATATATTTCAGCAATAAACAAGCTTCTTTTATTACTCATGGGATCCCAAAGAAATAAGGATGAGAAATCAAAATTCCTGCCGGAGTATTTACAATGTACTCAGCTGTTGAAATGTTCAGAATGCAGTCATGGAAGTAATTTAGCACATTTCTAATACACTTCAGTATGGTGATAATGTGTAAGAGTTTGGTCATTTAAAAAACCCAGTGAATCTTTCAAGACATTATTAAAGAATCTAACGCCCACCAATAACAAATAACATTTTTGACAGATAACAGTTAATACGATATTTGTGGTTTGTTGTTTCTGTCCCTAGGATAATGGCCCAGAATTGAAAGGATGCAACTGGACCTCCCCATAGGCAGGGAACAGCATTATCTAGATGTTGCCTTTTGTCCTGTAGTCTCAGGACATGTACAGACTATGTACAGCTCACTATCATGCATTTCTCCTCAATGTAACAATGCAGCCAGGCCACTGTTTCCCAAGTGTCAGTCATTCGTGTCCCTCCTTAACAATTTTGTGATAGCTGAGTCCACTTGTTCTATTACTTATTTGCTATTTTCTTGAAATTGGTCCTTCTCTTTTACTTGAGTAAGCCAGAAATAAATCCTTTTTTTAAAAGCAGGGTTCCTGGAGTCAAACCCCTCAGGTTCAAATTCCAGTTCTGCCTCTTACTAGTTCTGTGACCTTGGGCAAGTTATTTGACCTCTCTGTGCCTCAATTTCTTCATCTTTAAAAAGGGGATAACAATATCTAGCTTGTAGGATTGTGGTGAGGATTAAGTAAGAATAGTAATACATATACAGCACTTAGAACAATGGCCAGTACCTAGTAACTGTCAAAAAATATTAACTGTTAGCTATGGTTATTTATATTACTACATAAATGCTGGATTACTTGCAGTACATAGAGATAACAATACATAACTACTAAAGTTAAAAGTGTTTGCCCACATGTACCCCAAGAATCCTCTCTAGCGTCACCAGTGGTGCAGCCATCCACTGTGGGAAACAGCTTGGCCAACCTCTTCTGTCTGAAGTTACCTTCTCCTTGGCTTCCATGAGGACTTAAGGTGTCACTATCTCCTGATTTTTTCGATGCGTCTCTAGATTCTCAGGCACCTCGTCCCTTGACTCTGTCATTTATACTGATTCAATTTTATACACTTTGTCAGGGCGATTTCATCCCCTCCCATGGCCTGAGCATAAGCAGACCTACGTTATCGAAAACTTTTTCAACCGGGGCTCTTTGTCTGAACCGCAGAATGCAGAATGCAACCCGAGTTCCTGTTTTCTCAGTTCTCCTGAGAACTAGTGCCATTCTAGATCAGGGGAGAGACGCTCATTCCTTCCAGACGGTGGAGGCCTTAGGGCAGCAGTGCTTAATTCTCTAGTGGAGCTGCCGCTGAGAAGGGCTCCTCGACCCAGGTCCCACCCGTATTTCTTCCTAAGGTAATGGCGCTTGTATCCACTGTGTTGCCCAAGCCAGAAACCTGACATTTTCCATGACCTCCATCCTCCCTCTCCCCCCATTCCTCTCTCATCCTCCATTGTGTTTCCATCATTGGATAATTCTACCCGCCTTAATAACCCTTGAATCTCTCCCCTTCCCATTCTGCTCGCTGCCACCAGCTTGGTCAGCCCATACCACTTGCCCCAGGATCATGTAAAAGCAACCTGAGTGGTCTTCTTGCCTCTACTAGTCTATCCTCCACTGCTTCCTGGGAAAATCTCACTAAATGCACACCTTATTCTATCATTACCCCACCCATGGCTCTCCAAAGCCCTTCTGATAAAGCGCCATACCCTCCACGTGGAGGCTGGCTCGTGCTGTTACCCCACTCCCGCGTCTGCACTGGGCCTGCTCCTCCCCTCTGCCCAGGAGGCCCTCTCCTTCCACCCGCTCCTCTGCCATCACCCCTTTCTTTTGTGAAAGTCTTACTCAACCTTCAGTTCTTGCCCGGCACGCTGGACATGTGAGCTCCTCCTCTAAGGAGCAGCCAGTCCTCTTGGATTCTGCAGCCTCGGGAGTTAGCAACGTTGAACAGGACCAGGATCCGGTCACTGTCACCCCTGCAGAGCAACTCCCATCCCCAAGGAGCCAGGTGTGTTCAAAGGGGGCAGCTCAGCATTTGCCCCAAGAAGTGGCTAACCCGGGACACCAGGACAGAGGGCCGGCTGTGCTTTAGCTTGCGGCTGCTCAGAGCCTGTCTTTTCACTGTTGGACGTTTTCCTAAGAGAACTTGAATTAATAGCTCGGTAATGAATAATGAGGGGCTGGCACACACTCCTGTTTTCTTAACAGAATTATGGCTGCCAGCCTCACTGTATTGGCTACAATATTACAAGGCTCTGGAATCTCCTGGGAGACTCCCAACAGTCACAACATCTGTGGCATGGAGAAGATTTCCAAAAGACTGCACTGGAGAAGCACCCAAAGAGGTACAGCTAAATTCCTTCTGACCGAAGAGTTTTAACCTGGCACCCGTGGCTGGGTTTCAGGGAGTCTAGGAACCCCTAAGATTACAGGCGTAGGCTTTTTTGTGTGTATGTCTATGTGTACATTCACTTGGGGAGAGGGTCCATGCTGAGGACCAAGATGCCAGTTTTCCCTTTAGATGGTCAGACTTATTTCATTTGTTCATTAAAATGTTTGGACACTTGTTATAATGTGCCAGGCACTATCCTAAGTACTGGGGGTATATATCAGTGAAAACCACACACACACACACACACACACACACACACACACACAAGTATTTGTACTTACAGCCCTTATATTCTAGTGGGAGAAGGCAGACAATAAACAAAATAAGAAAGTCAGTTACATTCTATGTTAGAGGGTGCCAAGTGTCCAGAGAAAAATTAAGCAAGGTTGCTGATAAAGGGAGATGAAATTTTGAATACAGTGGTCCAAGAAGGCATCATTTAAAAGATGACATTTAAGTAAAGACTTGAGACTGTTGAGGGAGCAAAGCTACATGGGTAAAGGGGGGAAGACCGTGCCAGGCAGAGGGAAAAGCGGGGGGGAGGTCCCTCGCTCTTCAAAGTTGCTTTCGCCTGACATTGAGGCAGACAGCAGGGGCTAAGAAAACATCATCACCTTCTGGTAGAGTGGAAGGGCTGGGCATCTCAGGTCAAACTGCTTTCTGTCTGATGGACCAGACTGGTTTGTCTGACTAAAGCTGCAAAGAATAAGAATATCACTCGGGACCAGGGACTGACATTCATTATCATTCAGACCTGTTAGTTCTAGCACGAGGTGGAAGCACATATACTTTTGGCTCAAATTCCAATTGTCATTTTGGTCACTGGCAGTTTTCAGTAGATCAACAGCCTCTCAGTAGAAAAGCTTAATAACCCTAAGAGGGAAAGAGAAAAGAGTACATTAAGATTCAAGGGGGGAAAAACGTTGCCTGTTTTCAGCTAAATTCTCTTTGTTCCAACAAAGACTCATTTGACAATATTTTGTATAGTTGTAATCTATTGTAAAGATTTTGGCTTTTATTCTTAGTGAGATGGAAACTCATTAGAGAAAAGACATGATCTTAACTTATATTAAAAAATTATTATGGTAAAATGTACATAAAATTTACCATTTTAACCATTTTTAAATGTTACAGTTCAGTGGCGTGAAGTACATTCACATTGTTGTGCAACCATCACAACTGTTCATTTCCAGAACTTTTTCGTCATCCCGTAGTGTAACTCAGTACCCATTGAATAATCACTCATTTCCCCCTTCTCCCGGCCCCTGAGTAAAACCACCATTCTACTTTCTGTTTCTATGAATTTGACTACTCTAGGCATCTAAGTGGCATATTTGTCCTTCTGTGTCTGGCTTATTTCACTTAGCATAATGGCTTCAGGGATCATCTGTGTTGTAGCATGTATCAGAATTTCATTCCCTTTTAAAGCTGAATAATATTCTGTCGTATGTATATACCATAGTTTATGTATTCGCCCGATGATGGATATTTAAGTTGCTTCCACCTTTTGGCTTTTGTGAATGATTCTGCTGTGAACATGGGTGCAGACATATCTGTTTGAGTCCCTGCTTTCAGTTCTTCTGGGTTTATGCCCAGAAGCAGAATTACTGGATCAAAGGATAACTCTGTTTAATTTTTTGAGGAACCAACATACTGTTTTCCACAGCAGCTGCACCATTTTACAATCCTACCAACAGTGCACGAGGGTTCCAATTTCTCCACATTCTCACCAACATTTGGTTTTTGATTCGTTTGGTTTTTTTTTTGACAGCAGCCATCTTTGTGGTTTATTATTTGCATTTCCCTAATGATTAGTGATGCTGAGCATCTTTTCAGATGCCTTACTTACATTTTTAAAATATCACTCTGGCTGTTGTGTTGAAATTCTCAACTGTGGGGTGAGGTGAAGGACAGGGGACAAATGTGGAAGGAGGAAAGCCAGTTAGAAGTCTGTTGCAGAAGTCTAGGTGTATGATGATGGTGGCTTGGAGCAAGATGTTAGAAGTGGAAGTAGTAAGAATTCATGGGATTCTGGATATACTTTGAGGCTAGAGCTGCTACGACTGAAAGAGGAGTGTGAGAAAGGAGTCCAGAATAACTCCTATAATTTATGGCTGTGCAAATAGCCATTTACTGAGTCGGGGAATGCCAGGGGAAGAGTATGCTGGGAAGGTGAGGCATTAAGAGTCCAAGTCTGGACATGTTAAGTTTGGCTGCCTATTAGACTTCCAAGTGGAGATGTCAGTTTGACGGTGGATATGGGAGTTTGGAGATCAAGGGTATTTCAGTTATCTTTTGCTGCATAATAAATAAACTACCCCAAAATTTAGGAGTTTAAAACAGCAACAATTTATTATTTATCATCCTGTGGGTTGACTGACTGGCTCAGCTGTGCAGTTCTGCTCTATGTGGCATCAGCTGGGATCACTCACTTGGCTGCATTCAGTAGTGGGCTACGTGGGAAGGTCCAGAGTATCTTCATTCACATATCTGGCACCTCAGGGAGTCAGACTTCTTACGTGGCGACTGGTTTCTCCAGAAAGGACGAGATCAGAAGTTGTCAGGCTTCATAAAGGATAGGTCCAAAATGACAGAGCACCTCTTCTGCCATATCCTATTTGTCAAAACATGTCACAGGGCCAGCACACGTGAGCGGAGGGAACACAGACTCCACCGTTTGATGAGAAGAGTGGCATGTGCCTAGAGGGATTGGGTGGCAGCCATCTCAGGAGACTGACCAACACAAAGAGAGCTCAGGGTTGGGGACTTCAGTTTGAAAGCAATCAGAAGACTGTACTTAAGCCATACTACTGGATGAAGATTACCCAGGGAATGACTGTAGATAGAAAGGAGACGGAAAGGCTGATCTCCAGGGTATTCCAACATTTTGCATTTGGAAGGAGGAGAAGCCAGTAAATGAGGCTGAGAAGAAACAACCAATAAGGAAGGAGGAAAACCAGGAGAGTGCAGGGCTGCTGAAGACAGGTGCAGAGAGCGTTTCAAGAAAGAGGGAGTGAGGGGGGGACTTCCCTGGCAGTCCAGTGGTTAGGACTCTGCGCTTCCACGGCAGTGGTCACAGGTTAGATCCCACATGTTGTTCGGTGTGGCCAAAAAAAAAAAAAAAAGAAAAGAAAGAGGGAGTGATTCGTTGTGGAAAATGCTTCTGAAAGTTCAAGCGAGACAAGGGATGAAGATTGACAACTAGATTTGGCCACGTGGAGACGACTGGTGGTTTTACAAGAATAATTTCAGTGAATTTGTGGAGACATAAGCTTGATTAGGGTGAGCTCCAGAGCCAATATGCAGACAGAAATTAAAGGCAGTTGGCGTGGACAACTCTTTTCAGGAGTTACACAGGGAAGCAGAGAAATGGGACAGTAAATAATAGGATGTAGATCAATGGAAGACAAATGAAGAAACCAGCTTTCGAAAGAATGTGAACCATTCATCCATTACAGCAAGTAAGGCAGAGTATCATATGGTCACAAACGCAGGTAGGGTGATTAGATGTGCTAGTGGGAGGTGCTGTAGAAGCAAATGCTGTCTAGCGGTGAAGGGACGGTTAGTCCAGCCTTGGACAAAACGTAAGATCATCAGACTATCTTTAAGTAGGTGCACATTTATAGGCAAATAGCATGATTCTGTGGAGAAAGCTAAGAATGCAAAGAAATAACTGACAGTGTGGAACCTGAGAGCATGTGGCTGCAGGAGGGGATGCAGAACTTGGGGCAGAAGAGGACTATCTGACTCCAGCTTCAGCGAATGGCCTGAGTCTGGTGACTCAAGAACGGGGAAGGCAGTCTTTAGAGCCCAGGATGTCAAGGACCTGGGAGACTAGGGTATTAGGTCACACGACAGTGGCTGCCGATACCTCCAGGACAGCAGCAGGGGTAACGCAGGGGAGAGGACGACTGTGAAGTAGTAGTCGAGTCCTTAAAGAAGGGGAGGGAGCACCCAGGCAGAGTACTGGGCAACGGTGATGCTGGCGTTTTTAAGGGGGGAGGGGGCATGCATTTTTAAGAAGTGGATTTTGAAAGGAAATGAATATTCTGGAGGGGCAATGGTGAGTGAGCCAGACACTAGCTGAACCTGCAGCCAGGATGTAACCCCTGATCTGCTTCCTCCTGAGAGGCACTGGAGACCTGTAGACCTCGAGAGGAAGCCAGGGACTAGAAAGAGTTCGAACGTATGTATAGATATATTTTGGTGATTGAACCAAAGGAATTCCAGACATCACAGCAGGGCATCATCAGGAAAGGACGTCATGGGAGGGTTGGGGGCCGCAGGTGCAGGGCAGGAGGCTGAACCGCAAGGGAGGGAAGAGCGGGCAGCTCACTCTGGTGGCAACCAAGAGTGAAAGGCAGGCGGTGGAAGTGGCACCCGTGGCGAGATGGGAGTTTTGAGTTCTGCTCTCCCACCTCCTAGCTGTGTGGCTAAGAGATCACTTAGCAAGTTAGTACATCTTGTGTTTAGATGGCAAGTGACAGAAAACCTACTTTAATCTGGCTTAAACAATAATGAGGGTTTACTACCCCCATACATACCCTTCCATAGAGGAAGGGCGGCACTGTAGGAATTGACTCAGCTGTGCAATGATGTCCTCAAGGACCCAGTTTCTCTATATTTCTCTGTTGCACCTTTTATCGTGGTGGCTTCATCCTAAGGCTGTTCCACCTCATGGTCACATGACGGCTGCCAACAACACTCAGGAAAAATATATATATAATATCCTTTTACACATCTAGAAAGACTCCCTTTTGGTAGCAGTCTCAGAAAGGTGAAAAAATATCTTTTCCACACGTGCAGCAAACCTCTCCTGCAGTCTCACTTGGGTTGAACTTGGGTAATGTGTCCACTCTTGAACCAGTTCCCGTGGCCTGTGATATACCACGTGCTGACTGGCTGTGGCAAGAGGGACTTATCCTGATCGGTTTGGAGCACGTAAGGCCCACCCCTGTTGCTGAGACAGTCGGCACACTGGCTGTATTGGGGAAGGGTCATGCTCAATAAAAATCTGAGTATTGTTAGGAAGGGGAAAGGAAGAATTTGTGCTGAGTAGACGACTAAGAACGTCCACTCACTGAGCTGTCGTGAAGGTTAAATGAATATTTGCAAGGATGCCTTGCTTTTTCTTTCTTAAAAGGTTCTTGGAGGTAGAGCTCCAGAGGAAAGCTGTGAGAGCGAAAGACAGATAAGGGGGGAGGTGGAGAAACAGAAATTTGGGTTAAGAATCCAAGAACTAAGCGGAAGAGACAGCAGAGGTAGATGGGGCTGGAGCTGAGGCGTGGATGTAAACAGAACACGCCTGTCTGAATTCTCAGTAGAAACTGAGAGAGTGAAAATTCTTCTGGTGCCTTGCAAGTCTCCCTTTCCCAAGAGCTCATGAGGGCCTAATTGGTTCATCTCTATACGTGCCTGTGCTCAAAAATGTTCAGTCACTCCCAGCTCTATACTGGGCTACAGACATTTGCCTCACCCTGGAATTCCAGACTCTAGAATATGAGTCCAGCCTACATTTGGCTTCATTCTAATTATTGCCGTATACAAATTTCCCCACAAGGTCCACACAAGTCCGACCAAACTGGACTTTTGGTTGCTTCACAATGGCCCCTACACCGGCTCTCCTGCCTGCCTTTGTGCAGGTTTTTCTTTTGCTCTGAATGTTGCTCTCCTGTCTTTCCCGGCTGGAATCTCTCATCTTGAAAGCCAAGTTCAAATGATTGTTCTCCGATGGAGCCTTCACTGGTCCTTCCACGCTCATGTACTCATTCCTTCCTCACTACTGGTGTGCTATTAGCATTAGCTACTAGTGTCACCTACTCTAGACTGTCAGATTCTTGAGGACAGCGAAGTTCTCCTCCGTACATGTTCATTCTTTATTTGCTCATTAAAAAAAGCTGTGGGTGTCAACTGTGTGCTAGTCACTGTGCAGACAGAGGTGAGGAAGTAGCACTCAGTAAATACTGGTTGAACTTAATGCTACTGAAATGGGCTAGTGCCAGCTGGTAGGATTCCAGTGGGGGGACCAACTGCACTAACGAACCGAAGTCCTCTCTGTCGATCTTCTATTCTGAGTGTAACCATGTTTGCCAAAACCCTTGCCTCAGTGGGCCTTAAGTGCATATAAAAGCTGAGTTTTTATTGCCAAAGTAAAGCAAAGAACTGAGACAAATAATGAGACAGCTTATAGATTGTTCAGGAAAAAAAAAAATCTGCCTTTGAAATTATTAAGTCATTTCAGTTTTTATTCCAGAGTCATACAAAGCACTATCGTCTGTATTATTTAGCAGTGGCTTTCAAAACATTTTTGCCATTTCACAGTAAAAAAAAAAAAAAAAAACCTTTATATCATGATTCAGGTCATATTTATTCATTCATTCATTCCTTCAATTAAGTAAGTATTAACTACCTACAATATGCCAAATACTATTCTCAGCAGAATACAGTAGTAAACAAAAAGGAAGGAGGGAACAAAAGCCCCTGCCTTCAAAGACCTTACATGCTAGTGGAGCATACAATAAACAAAATAAGTAAAACACACAGAAAAGGAAGACTCATGAACAAAACCTCCTATTATTACGTGCCATGTACTCTGATATTTTCTATTTTATATAAAAAAAAAAAAAAGCGGGTCACACCCCATTCAGCTATTAAGTTGGCCTCTCAATTCGGTAACGTGTTGAGACCTACACTTTGAAAAATACTGATCTAGATACTTTATGGAGTAGGCAGAGTGTGTTCTGTGCCCGTTATACAGATGAGACAGAGTGACACGTAAAGCTCAAGGTTAAGTGGGTTAGCCACACACACGCGCGCTCCGAGGGAAGCAACGCTGGCACGTGTCCTCAGGGCTTCTGACGGAGCCCACTGCTGCCCTCTCCATTATCCTCTGCAGTCCTCACAACTGTCGTAGTCCCTACCTCTCTTTGACTATGAAATCCTGACCTCTACCTGGAGCAGCTCTTCCCTCCCCTGCCAGGTAAAATCCCATCGATACTCCTAGGCCTGTGTAGACTGCCCGTCTCCGGGATGCGGCTCCTGTGCCACTCACTGGACGCTGGCTTCCTCACTGCTGTACCACAGTAGGATCCTCTCCACCGTGACCTCTTTAAGAGCAAGTCTTACTCTCCTTTTCCCCCCAGGGCACAGCTTTACAGAGTAGGTATTAAAAAATACATATGGAACTGAACTGAATTTGTACGTGACTCAAAGGAGAGGGGTGAAGGAAGCGCTTACTCTATTTGAAAGGCTGAGACCAGAAAAGATACCACTGGGAAAAGACCTCTTTACCGAGGTTATAAAAGTCACACATTTGGCAGAGGCTTCAACAATAAAAGACTATACAATCCAAAAAATGTATCTCCTTAGCATCGGGAGGTTTAGAACGACGCCAGTAGCTCCTGGATCGCACAGAACAGAAACTTGGTCAAATCAATTCAAGGAAATGAGGACCACGATAAGAAGGGCCAAGGCTAGCTGTATGGACCTGAGGCAGGGCAGAGGCAAAGGCCCCAGGTGATCCTCAGCAGCAGAAGAAAGGGCACCTTTGCTGCAATGGTGACCATTACGATGGGGACAGCTGCCAACTCACCCAAATGAAGAAAAGCAGTCGCAGTTCTCAACAGAAAGAATCTAAATGGCGCAGCCATATCTAGAATTGTCCACTCCTTTTCATATAGTTGGGGTAAGATGGGGCTGTGTGGTTGGTACAAATATCTAAGGGAAGGAGAGAGAAGAAACTCTTCAAAAAGGGAGATGGACTTATTCTAATTATTGACCCAAACTGGAATATAAAGTTTAAATTTCAGGCTACCACCAGAGAGGATGGGGACTCAAGGCCAAGATGAGGTCAGTTATAAAAAATACTGTATCTGTGATATAGTAGAAAACTTAATTTCAGTCCTATTAAAAGTAAAAAAATGTCGGTTAGCTAAATGACCTCTAAGTTTCAGGGACCTACAACTGAATTCTCTAACCCATGGCTTTCAGACTTTATTTTGAATTAGAGACACTAATTCCGTGGGACTAGTGTCAGCTGTAGGGACTGCATATTTAAATAAGCACCCTGGATTCTGTTAAAGATGTATCACGTTGAGAAACTTGCTTAACCTAATTCTTTCCTTTTTACAATAACCAAAAAGGGGCTCAACTTTAGTTAATGTTTCTAATTAGAGCAAAAATGGGCAGTAAAACTGTACAGGCACACCATTCATGCAGTGACACTAAATAAGAGCATATGCAAAATTTAAAACTACATTTCTTATTAATTGTTTTTAATAGCATTTAGTCACATAATTTGTAGTGGCATAGGTTTATAAAAGATGCTTAAGACTGGTTGGTAACTTAGTCTTATCTTGGGTTTTCCTTTAAAATTGAGAATAGGGGAACGAGTCACAAGTTAAAGGGTATTTCAGGATACGTTGATTATAAACTCAAAAGGTACACTGATATCAATTCTATAAACAGCAAATGTGAATGTAACTTATTTAAGCCTATTGGTTCACATTTTTAAAAAGCACCCTCATTTGTTTAAAGTTAAGTACTTTAAATGGTTCTTGAAAGTCTACTGTAGACATAATATACTCAGTCCAACTAGCTGGTGGTGGGGTGGGTTTATATGACCACATCCAATTCAGAGTCTGACTCAGAATTAAAAATCAAACTGCATTACACAAAAGTTACAGTCATGGGTAGCATAATCAGTTCCTCAGATAATACAGCTTCCAGAGCTATCATCATCCTGGTCACCCTTCTTTTTTGCTTTCACTTACACATATCTTTCTTTTAAAGAAACAAAATATGTAAAAGTTCACCAAAATTCGGCAAGTCACAGTTTGTATAGCACTGACTGATAGTAGCTTTGGCATTTGATATTACAAAGTTACTTTTGTTACAAATATTTTCTTCATTCTGGGTCAAGGCGAGGTAAAACAGGAAGAATAAGAT